CTGATCAGTTTCAGCAGCGGCTGACGCCAGTTCCGACTTACATACAGATTCAACTTAAGAACAAACCTACAGTCCCTATCTTGTACGTAACCCGGGGACTGCCTGTAATATAGTGCCATGGAATTTTACCTAGTCATTCTTGTATCTAATCCAATAAATCCTCTTTGTAGTATCTTTTACAAAGATACCCATTTTAATTTAAAGACTTTAAGTGATAGAGAATCATCCACCCCCTTAGATACAGTATTTTAATGGTTAATAATTACCACATTTAAAATGGCAGAATCCAAGAATCAAGAAGGGAAGGGGAATAAAACATGAGCTTGGATGTAGGAAGGAGGAGGAAGATTTGTAAAGAATTTGAATGTATTATTAAAAGGAGAGGTCTAAGGAGTTCACGGATATACTTCAGATGATAGGAATGCTCTTGCACTACCAAAAGCAGTTAGGATGGTTTAATACTAATTTGTAAAAGAAACAGACAAAGAGAGAGAATGGAAAAACACCTAGATTGGGTTTAAAAAGCTGACTATGGGGAATGGGCATGATGGATAAAGATTCTCCAATTCATACATATTGTGGTCACTATACAAGATACTTGTATATGACCATGTTTATCTTTACCATCCACCAATTTTGAAAGTCATGACTACTCTTTCTGACCTGAGTTGAAAAGATGGCTCTTTTCATAATGGTTAAGTCATCCCGGTCAAGAATCTTGTTCAAATCTGGAATTTCTCCCCTGCAAAGGCAATACAGACAGACAACACCACATGACTTGCCAGTAGTCTTTTTGGAAATTAAGATTTAAAAAGTTTGCATTAAAGTTGTGCAGGATAGATTAAGAAACTCAAACAGGGATGATCCAAATTCCACTTCAGGTATCTTTCCAGACTCTTCAATCAGCTTTGAATCAGGTCTTTAGGAAGTTTGATCTATTATCTCTATATTATATCCACATGACTATCCTGTTCTCTCCTCCACACTGCTTTTGTAGAAATTCCATATTGGATATATTTGGAATATTTAAAAAAGAAAAGAAACCAAAAAGCCATTATGAACATTAATTTTTGTTTTGGTCAAAATGTTTTTTTTTTAAATGAAAATGAAATCAACTCTATAGCTGACACCAAACAGGACACAAAGTAAACAACAAATATTTTTACATAGACATTTCATTTTTCCAGCCTACTCTTTGAATTTGGGGGTCAAAGATCTTCCAACTGAGGCGAACCTCCCTTTGTAATCAATAAGTGTACGACCTGATAAAGGAGTGCAGAGAATTTCCTCCTTTCTTTAGATATGTACTGAAACTTCAGTTAAATTCCACTCTATTCTATCTAAGGTACTTATGGACCCATTATCATAGTACCTCACAATCCTTAAAGCATCTATCCTCAAAATCTCGGAGAGGTAGGGAAATATTGCTGTCCCCATTTTATAGATGGGGGACTGAGACAGACAGAAAAAGGCTAACATTTTCAAAATTCACCTAAGTGACTTAGAAGCCTACATCGCATTGAGTCTGAGGCCATGTCTTGACTTACCATGCTGGAGATTGATCTTCTGGCATTAGTGTATCCTTATTAGACTCACTAAATCAAAGTTAAATGCTGACGATGCCCCCGTTGGTGCTGGTAATCCTACCTCCCATTGGCCTCTTGCTGTGGACATGGCACCAAGCTCGGTTTAGGTTTAAGGAATGTCTTCTCCGGCTACATTATTTACATAGCTGGAGTTGCGTGCCACAAGCTGATCTTATGGGTCTAGAATAGACCTGGTCTCAGGCTCTTAAATGCTTAAGACACCTTTGAAAATGAAATAGGCTTCCAAGCCACTTTGGATAAGTAACTTACAGTGATCTTTGCAAAACTTGCACAGGAAATCTACTGTGAAGCAGGGACTTGAATAATGGGTTTCCTAAATCCCTAATGGCGACATTCATTCCCGTCTCTCCCCTAATTCTTTTCTTACATCCATAATACACAGCTATAACCACCACAGCTGGCCCCTCTGCAATACAAACACGAAGTGACCTACATACTCACTTCAGGAGTGCATCATAGAGTTTCTTTCCAAATTTTTCTTTCACAGATTGTGCGGTGTCCCTAGTAAATTAAACAAAATATGAAAAAGTGGGACATGTCCAGAGCAAAGCCTGAATATACAGTGTTCCTGGTGACATTCTAACTTAAGCAGGGGAACCAAGATCAGGGGAGACAGATAGGGACTGAAGGCACTTTTTCCAATTCTCAGCCATACAGATTGTATTCAGCACAGAAGAAGATCTGACCGACCCACAAAGATGGACCCACAAGTCCAATAATAGAGCATCTCTGATTAAAACAAAACCAAACAAAAAAAACAAACACTGCAGTATGTTGGGGGTGGGAGGGAAAGCAGTGAAATGGGACACTCTTCAAGGTTGAGAGGTTCTAAATTTCGCCTAACCTTGGGAAGAGGGTAGAAGAAATAGGTTTTGTTTTAAAATTCTCACCTGCAAGCGCCTTCAAAAAGAAGGGATAGGACAAGCTGTAGATATTGATCCTCCTGATAAATTGGTTTAAAAACCGGACACTCTCTTGGAAAACCTGGGCTAAGTTTAAATTTCATCCTAAAGCTTGCACCAGACTATTTTTACCTCGTTTAATATTTTGTTGTAGCCCTTCTGTACACCCGTAAAAAGCTCATTTAAGTACAAGCTAGAGACAGGTATGTAGTCGCCAGATGGCATGTCTCAGAACATAAAGTACAGCTAAATCACTGCACTCAAAGACAGCTGTGTAAAGTCAGAATATTATTTCTATGGGATTTTTTCCTGTCTTTTTGCGCCTTAATGATAGGCCTGAACCAAAAACTGTTTTTGGAATACCCTGAAACTTTGCTAAAACTGGATTCCAGCTTATCTGTTGTTTGTCTCTTTGGTTACAGTGACTAAACTCTTATATTCGTATGTTTTTTATAAAGCTAAGGCAATAAGCGGGTGAGTCATTCAACACCCCTGATACTCCTCACTAAGCAGCACCCCTCCTCAGCCCTACCACCTACATAGCTCCACCTTCACTCTGAACAACTACTTGTTACCCTACAAACTCCTCCTAACTTTGAGTGAACTTCTCTCTGCTGGACTGAAGAGCCCATTATTAAATATTGGTTCCCTTATAGATACATCTAGATTGCAACCGAGTCACCACTTCACCTTCTCTTAGCCAGCACGGAGATGTGCTGAATCAGTTTCAAACCAAAAGGATACTGTATTGGTGCAAGGCTTGCTTGACACCAACTGCATGACTACAAACACTTTCAGTACAGGCAGGTTTGGTGTCAGGCTGCCCAGGCTTGCTGTGAGGTATATTTGTTTGCAGTGCTTTGGAAAAATGTAGAAATTGTTTGTTGTTGTTGACCATTCAAAACGATGCCATCTCTAGAACACAGCTAGCATAGAATTGGAACGTGGTTGGTGAGGTGAGTGTGTCGGTGATGGTGGTGGCCTGTGATACACAGGTCAGACTAGAAGATCTGGTGGGCCCTTCTGGCTTTAAACTCTATGGCTACATCTACACTGCAGGCTTTTTGCACAAGAATGTCTGTTCTTGCGCAAAAACTTGCAGAGAGTCTACACTGCACGCGCTTTCTTGTGCAAGTAAATTTACAGTACAGTGTCAGAAAAGAGGGCTTCTTGCAGAAGAGTTAATCCTCTCCCCACGAGGAAGAAGTCCTCTTGTGCAAGAGCTTTTGCTCAAGAAGGCAGTGTGGACAGGCAACAGGAGTTTCTTGTGAAAGAAACCCCTATGGCTAAAATGGCCATCAGAGCTTTCTTGTGCAAGAGTGTCCACACTGCCATGGGCGCTCTTGGGCAAAAGCACATGGCAGCGTGGACGCGCTCTTGCGCCAGAACTCTTGCGCAAAACAGCTCTTGCGCAAGAAGCCTGCAGTGTAGACATAGCCTATGGCTCTACAAAGTTGCAACCTGATGATGCTGGTGGTTGTTAGGTTTATGGTGAGGGTTGAAATAACATTCTCTGTGCCTCATTTGTTTTTACCATCACTTATTGCTACTAACGCATATGTTCCATGTGTGTGAATTAAATCTTAATTTACACTATTAAAAATGTCCAAGTGGAATGGGATTATGGGGCAGATGTGGAAGACTGGGGAAGGCATAAAACCAGGGAAGCTGTCAGGCCACTGGGGCCAAGGTTGTAGGAAGGGAAGCTGTGCCCATCTAAACAGCAGAAATTCAGCAGAGAGCTCTACTGTTGAGCACTGTTCTCCAGCCCCCATGCCAACATCTATGCCTTTCCCCTACATTTCCCCACATCCTGTCCAATCAGCCTCTCATCCAGGCAACCCTCTTCCCTGAAAGGTTTTGATCATCCCCAGTGAGTGTCCCTGTTAGTCCTGAAGCTTCTGTACAAGTAGCCCCATCCAACTGGGATGAGCTTCCATCCAGCCTCACATGGTTTACCAGAACTACCTCTCAGTGGTAGTTCTGCTCTGGAGTCAACTCAATCTGTGTGAGAGACATCCTCCGTCCCCGATCCTCTCTCAAAAGTGTGCTATCCCAGAGCTGTTCTGAGAATGCAAGTGAGTGCAACATGTTTATTAGAATTGTAAACCTGTTCCCTTAGGGAGAGGAAGGCAAGTCTGTTAGGAAAAATTGCAAAAGGGGAGCTTGGAGCAGTTTTTCCTTCCACAAAAAAGTTAATAAATTAAAAAAAAAAAAGTTACATGGAAAACTCAAAGGCTTCCTGCAGAATTATCGTGCTGAGTTCGGAGACTAAATTCAATCATTAATGCATGAGAGAGAAAGGGGGATTTTAACTCTGACCTAAGTGTGAACTTCAATGCACCGTGAACTCTGGAGTTTCTTTTGCTTCTACCCCATCAGTGTGCAGAGCCAAATCTCGCAATCTAATTTCAATTCTTAAATGTTCAGGGAAGTCTTGATCTAGATGTGAAGTTTGTTATTTTCTCAGTCAGTAAAAGGAGCTGAACCGAACACTGAATTCTGATCTGAACTTTACGACGTGGTGCCATGTCTAAAGAATAGCTCACGTGAATTGGGTGAAAGCAAAGGGGAGCTGTGTGGGGAAAGCCAAATAAGGCTCCGCCTGGATTCACACCACAAGCCGCCTCCGAAATGCATTCAAACAGGATAGGCTGCTTATTTCACAGCACAGGAAGATGGGGGTTTATATTCCTGATCAGCCAGCTTCTATCCTCCGATTACTGCCCACCTCTTTTGGCATTTAATCTCCAAGGCACCCACGATATCAGCTGGAATTACAATGGCAGTTCCTTTTATCCAGCAGCTTAAGAGGACGATCACTACAGTACTGCATATGCTTGCTCAAAAACTGTTCACAGTATCTGTGAGTAGTGATCTAGGAGGAAGAATGCACTTGGCATGGTTTTAACTTGCTGAGCTGATGTAGAAGGGACCAATTTATCCTCAGTTTCACTGGGGAAAAAAAATCAGTGACCACATACAGTAGCTACACTAGGCTCTTCTGTTCACCCTAGCCCAGCCCCACTGTTTTCCCTTTGTATGTTTCTCTTCATTTAAACTTCCCCTTTTTGCCTCCAATTAGAGAAACAAGAGGCATCAAAATACTTCTTGCAAATATAGCTGCTTCTCACAGTGCACAAAGCATCCTGGACTTCACTCCTACAATGCTTCTAGTCACCAAAAAACTACTGGTACCTGTGAAAAATTACAGTTACAGCCACTGGCCAGTTTTGTGCATGCTTTTAGGAAAGCAATAGCCATCCACATAATAAAGCATAGTGTCTCTGAGGCAAGTGTTTTTAGAGGGATGACTGGAGAGAATGTTTCTTGGATGCCCTTAGACATCCCTTTATCAAGTGAAAACTGTGGTAGATGAGCAAATCTGATCATTTGATTTCTCTTTCAGATCTGGCAACCAATCTTCCCCTGCGCACCAAGAATGTCACTCCCATCCACCTCCTCAGCAGAGCCGAGCAGTAGCTGCTCAGCTGCAGGGCTGTGTGGTGGCCGGGGAGCAGCAGATCAGCCACCACATGGCCCTGGCCCTAGCCCTAGCTTCAGCCCTTCTCTAGGGACAGAGCTGGAGCCATGTGGTGGTGGTGGTGGTGGTGATGGGGCTGCTATGGCAGCCAGGGTCGGCTGGGGCCATGCGGCAGGGGGGGCGCTACCTGAGAGAGTCTCTAGGGAAGCAGTGCCACTGGTGGGTGCCACAGTGGAACATCTGAACAAGCGCATGTGACCTCATTGTTGGTGCACAAGACAAAACTCACTGGAAAAATCTCAGAGGTAAAAAACAACAGTGACTACCAGATCAGTGCAGCGATCCCAAGAATACTACTTGTTACAACTGTGTACTTTTAGTGTACACACCATTCAAGGACCTCATAGTAATTTACTAACATGAATGACCTGAGCCACCAAAACACCCCTTTGAGGCATTTACAAAACAACAATACTAGTACCTATTTCTTACATAGTGCCTTTCCCCCTTAGATCTCTGAGTACAGAACGATGGGATGTATCACCACCATATTACCAGTGGGGAAATTGAGCAAGAGAAGTTAAATGTCCAGTGATTCAGAAACAAGAACATAACTCAAGTCTTACGGCTCTTTGTCCCTTAATCCTAAAAATCAGCCTTCTTATCTTTGCAGATGAGGTTAGTTGTCTTAGCCACTTGTGAGGAATCTACTTGGAACCATTTAATGCTCTGATCAAACAACAGCTAATCTATTAATGTGTACCGGGAGACAACTCTTGCATTCTTCGAGCCCAATTCAATCTCAGTTATGACTCCACTTGTTTCACTGATGAATTTGGCCCTTTGAGGTTAGAGAACTTGTCTGCATGAAATTATGTTGGAAAGCACATGTGCTGTTACATGGACTCGCTAGACGGAGTAGCTGTAAGCTGAAGGTTGTTTTTAGTGGGATGCCCCACCAAATCCACAGTTGTGTGGCTTTAGTTTTTGAGAGAGAGTTTAATTAACTGGAAAAAACAGAGGAACCAACATTTGTATTAAAATTGTGTTTGAAATTTTGGGTAGTGGCCTTAGCTCTGTGTGCGGGCTCTAGAGCAGGGTCTCCCAACGTAAGAGTTGGGACCCAAATATGGGTCGCCATTACATTTCAAAAGGGCCGCTGGGTGTCTCTTAAGGAGCCATTCACACATTTTTTGAATTGCCATGGGTCACCAAGTCTTCCTGAATTGTCAAAATGGGTCCCCATCTGGCAAACGTTGGGAACTGCTGCTCCTGAGATACGAAATTTTGGGGAGTGGCCAGAGCTATATGAGCTCTGGAGAAATGAACAACGATATCTACTGTAGCATCATCCTGTCTGAGTGACCAATCCATGCTCCATATTTCATAATAAAAAGAATGAGAGTAATTAACTTTTTTTCCCCAGTGAAAGAGAGCTTCCCTCAGGTCAGTTTCAGGTCCTCTAGCAAAGTTCTGAGAAAGGAAGCTTGCCTTCCACTTTGAAAGATTAGCTACTAAAATAACTATGTATTGATTCATTCTACTTGTACAGAAGCTTCTGGAGGTAGCCGAGTTAGTCTGTACAGAAAAAAAACAACAAATGGTCTGATAGAACTTTATAGACTAACAAAACATGTAGATGGTATCCCAAGTGGGCACAGCCCACTTCAGCTCATGATCCCATCTACATGTTTTGTTAGTCTATAAAGTGCTATCAGACCATTAGTTGTTTTTTTCTACTTGTACAGTTAGCAGTGAATGTATTGCTGGAGATCAAAGACAGGGCATGGTCCACCCAGAGCCGGCCTACGCCACGGGCTGACTGGGCTACTGCCCGGGGTGCCCCATTGTAGGGGGCACCGCATAGGACTGCCGGGCTGTACACCTGGGGGTGGGGCCACGCTCCCGGGGCCCAGGGCACACAAATGGCTTGGGCCAGCCCTGGGTCCACTACGAATGTCAGGATCAGACAGATGACTCTGGGCTTGATTCTCCATTCCTTGCACTCTGTGTTGTCATCAGGCCTGCTGATGGGCAGGAGGGGGGCAAAAGGGGCAATTTCCCTGAGGCCTAGGGCTCCCGGCCACAGCTGCTACTATTGTAGCAGCAGCCAGAACCCTGGGCCCTTTAAAATTGCCATTGGAGCACTGTACCGCACAGTCCAGGCGGCCCTAAGGACTGGGGGGGAGGGGCCCGGCCCACTCCAGGTGGCACAGAGAACTGACTGCCCTGGCCCTTCCCCTTCTGTTCATGGCCACGCACCCACCTTTACCCTGGCGATAAGTGAGAGCGAAGTGCTAGCCACCTAATGGGGCTAGTAGTGTTTAATATTCACTTTACATAGAGTATAAATAGGCACAAGGACAAAGCTGTTGAGAACCAAATTCCTTGTTAATAAACTAGCAAAAGAAAGGGGAAATACGTGCCCTGATTTATCGTCCTCCTTCCCACAAACAGACTCAAGTTACTTACTACCTTATTAGCCAGAGGAAGAGGAACGAGCGTTATTTGCCATCCGCGCCATTCACTTATCCCCGCAATTCACCATTCAACAGCAGCAATGAAAATAGCAATTACCACAGTTGCTTTCGTATTGCTTGGCCTTTCAGTGTTTCCACGTTGAAATTGTTCGTCTTCGCTGGCATGATGAAGAACACGACGACTGTAACATCACTTCTGTGAACCTAAACCGAGGAAAGAAGGAGAGAAAACGTGCAATGTTAATAAGAAATCCTTATGCAGAAACAAACAGATTCCAGACAATACGGACACTTTGTCCACACCAGGAACTAGCCAGAGCAAATGGTCAGCAGAACTCATTGCATTTTAACTAGTTGCTCAAGAAGGCTTTGAGCCTGCAATGAAGTCTATGTGAGTGGACCCTGATTTCAGTGGGGCTCCATGCTAAGGATGTTAATAGGTGGGTAATTGTCTATTCATGTAGTCAATACAATTTGTCTCAACTACACGATTAGTCAATAAGGGAAGGCGTTCCGTCCCAGCTGCCCCTGGGCCCGGGACCCCCCCCCCATTGTGGCTCCATATTTTAAATGTAGTAAGAGCCTCTCAGCCCTTACTACTTTTAAACTGCAGAGCTGTAGCAGGGGTAGCTCCTAGACCTGGTGGAAGCCAGGTCCAGCACCAGGACCTGGTCCAGCAGCTCCTGTCCACGGTGGGTCCCAGTGAGGAGCTGGGACCCGCCCCCAGGACAGGGGCTGCTCCACAGCATGCAGAACAGCCTCTAGTCACAGCAAGCCTCGGTCGGCTGCGGACAGAGACTGCTTTGTGGCAGACTCCCATGGCCCCCCGCTCCTATGCAGGGGGGCAGGCAACACCGTGGAGACGGTGCTGGACAGTGGTGGGGAGAGAACTGGCTTTTAAGCTGGTTCCCGCTTTCTCTACCACACTCCCGCTGACTGATACAGAGGTATCAAGGTGGGGAGGAAATGTGAGTAGTTGACTTGACTACTCAATAAACCTATGCTTATCAGGTAGTTGGTTGCTTGACTAGTTGCTTACATCCCTAGTCTGTGCACATGAAGGAATATACACAAACATAGCACATTGCAGGATTAGAGCCAAAAGGAGTTGCCAGGAAAGTCAAATCCATTACTGAAGATCTACACTGTTATTATTGTTCCTACAACTTCTGAAACCTTTGTGTAAATGTAAAGTCAATCTGTCATTTTAATCTGTTTCTGAGATGATAACTAAAACACTGTAAAATGAAAGACATTTTGAAATTTAATGCAGTTGTTATCATTTTCCCTGTTTCTTTACACTTTGGCTACGTCTACACTGGCCCCTCTTCCGGAAGGGGCATGTAAATTTCAGCAGTCGTCGTAGGGAAATCCGCGGGGGATTTAAATATCCCCCGCGGCATTTAAATAAAAATGTCCGCCGCTTTTTTCCGGCTTTTAAAAAAGCCGGAAAAGAGCGTCTAGACTGGCCCCGATCCTCCGGAAAAAGTGCCCTTTGGGGGCTGGAGCATATGACCTATGAGGAGAGGCTGAGGGAGTTGGGTCTGTTTAGTCTGGAGAAGCGAAGAGTGAGGGAGGCTCTTATTCTTACTTCAAAGTAAGAATAAGAGCCTCCGGAAAAGGGCACTTTTTGAAGTAAGAATAAGAGCCTCCGGAAAAGGGCACTTTTTCCGGAGGATCGGGGCCAGTCTAGACGCTCTTTTCCGGCTTTTTTAAAAGCCGGAAAAAAGCGGCGGACATTTTTATTTAAATGCCGCGGGGGATATTTAAATCCCCCACGGATTTCCCTACGACGACTGCTGAAATTTACATGCCCCTTCCGGAAGAGGGGCCAGTGTAGACGTAGCCTTTGTGTCAGTCAGCTCTACCAGTGAAATATGATGGGTATGCTTTTAGAGTTGATTTTTGGGCCAGACTCCCTTATCCAATATAAATCCTTCATGTTACTTTGTTGGTGCAAAGGAACTGGCTGAATTGTCTGAAGTGGGAATTCTCCTGGTATGAGTGTATCCCTGCAGGCATGCAACTAGCATCATTTTCTCCTGCAGGTCTCCAAGCTTTAGTTGCAGCCAGCAGAAATTGCATGCATTGGAGAACCTTTGTTTACAGTTGTTTATTCTCTCCTGTCTTAGCACAAGGATGTTGGTTTTATGAGGTTGGGTGTGGTATTTGCCAAGCTCCAAGGAAATATTTACATAGACTAGAAACCCATTTTTTTAATTTTAATTTTTAAGCATCTCAACATTAGTTGCGTATTTTTTTCATTCAATTGCAGCACATCTATATTATCAGCCTAACGTATGGCACCCAGTAGAAAATTTCAAAAGATGTTTAGAAAGAATATGTATTAGAAAAGATCATGAACCAAAACCTAGGATGCAAGCACCTTGGACTTCAGGGAACTTTGCTTCTGTATTCTGAAGACATAGTCCAAAGATGTTCATTCCTTACCACTAGAATGGGCCAGAGTATTCTCTTGGTGCAGCTAAATGTGGTCAGTACCACTATCCTAAGCCATTGGCCACTTGAGAGGAGCTAGGTTACAGCAGTTGGAGTGGTCCACAAAGTGGAACTCGCATGGCTGAAAATTGGTAGTGTCTTGTACTACCAGCTTTTTCTGTGAGCCTCAGTATCCTTTTTATCTACTTGTGTACCAGAGGCATTGGGACTGGCAGGTGGTTTAAAACCAGTCAGCTTTATACCTGCTGTGGAGTCCCTTACATGGGGTGAATGCCTCATCAGCCTTCTATAGTGAAGATACAAGGTCTCCTTGTTCTGTGACCTTAGCTTTCCACAAGGGTCTGTCTCAATGTATATTATCGTCAACATTTATCCAAGCTTTCAAACCATCACCAAAATGGTTCTATAAAATATTTCTAAATATTGTCATCAGATGCCACCTAGATAGAGGGACCAGACTCACTATAGCACATCAGTTAGAGAAGCACGCGGAAGGGAGCATTCCTAGATTCACAAACAGCACAGATAGCTTGCTGCTCCCAATTGGATTACCCTCAGCAATAATCGCAGACTGGACGTCCTTACTGATGCTTATCAGCAACACTTTTTGTTAATGTCGCTATTTATTAGATACAGTAATAAAACTGTACAATGAATCATTTAAGCAATTCTGTCTCCTTTTCAATATGCAAGACATTAGCTGTAAACAGAATTAATACCCTTAGCTGGGTGAATGACACTAAAACATGGCTAATGTTTCTCCCATGGAACCACCAGTAAATGGGACTAGTTTTGTTGGTGAACATATCAAGTATGTCCCTTTAGTCCATTGATTTCAATGGCACAAGAACAGGGGACTGGAAGGGATGTCTTGGGTCACTAAGTCCAGCCTCAACTAACACAGGATACCCACCCCATCATATCTTAATGGATGATGGCAGTTGAGCAACTCTAGTGGAAGAGATTCTCCTGTGATCCCATGACTCCAGGAGGCCTGGCTTTAAGAAAAACACTAAATGTCACACAACCCATGAGAACGTTCTGAGAGTTAGCAATGCTGCAATGGAGTATACTAACAAGCACGCCTTCCCACTTTTCCTCCATGGTTCAAAGGAACTACAATGGAAATCTGGTGGATACGAAACTGGACTGGTTTTAAAGACACTTTATAATGCAGGGTAGCGTTGAAGAGGCACAGAAGTTGAGACAGGTGGCATGAAACAGACAAGAGCTCTCTACAATAGGCACAGAGAGCCATTCAACAACCCAGAAGTCACCACTGAATGACAGAGATACTGCTGAGTTTCTTTCGGTCTCACAAAAGGAATCAATTTCCAAATCAACTGGATCTTCTATTTGCGCCAGTCTGTTGTACCTAGGTTTCTTGTTATGCTGAAAGTATCTTAGCATCTAGATTTTAGAGTCCCAGAGGTGTGGAAAGTTTTGCTTGAGCTGATGGTGGGGCTATCGTCCTGCTGTAGCCGAGAGACTATGCAAAGGCTCCCCAGGCCTTTTGACAGTGACACAGTTTTGATACAAAGGGAAGTCTTTGAGAATGAACAAACTTCCCCCCACCCCACGAAAAGCCTAATGACTGAGGTGTATAAACTGGAGACAAGATGAAATTCACTCCCCATTTTGCAGGCAGGCTTATGGGCTGGAAACTTCTTTGAACCCTCTGTGCAGGATTTAGTGGCTACTGGTTTCAGATAAGATCTCCCATGGCCTATTCCAACAGTCTTTCCACACTGGTCTATCGGGAGCCAGTGAAGATGATCACAGTGAACAGAGGGGATCTCACTACAACCTGCCCACCTACCCCATCACTTCAAACACCACCCTTTCATGTTGTGGAGATTCTTTTATGTTACCTACACATTGGAATGAATGTCTCACAGATAGAATTAAGTGTCTGTGCACATGCACACATGTGCATTTAAACTATCTGCAGCTACACTAGCATTAGCCAAGGGCAAAATAATACATTTAATTTCTACGTGACCTTGTCTAATAGACTTTGCTTGCATCAGATAATTGGAGCGGAGCCTTACTTCAAACTAGTGTTAGTGCCTCTTCACCAGTTACTATCCAAACTCCTAGGGCCCCCGTCCTTCATACTATTCTGACAGTGTCAAGGGTCCTTAAAACCCTCCTGAAAATATTTCCTGTGCAGGTTGCCTCCCCAAATAGACAGAGATGGCATAAGTGTCTATGCTGGCCTTGCTCCCATTCACTGGTCAAGTTAGTAAGGTGCTTTAGCACATTAGATGACTGCTTTTCCTTGATTCCAAAACCATGGGAAGTAGAGTTTAATTTACAGCAGCCCTGAGGTGGATCTGAATTTAAATGGAGCCAAGAGGAATACCAACTGCCCCAACAATATTTGAAGCCATCTTTGCTCCTTCCTGCCCCAAGCACAGAAATGGTAAGACCGAGAAATGGGTCCTTAATTGCTGAACTTCCAAGTTCCCAGGCTACACATGCTGGCTACGCCTAGACTGGCCCCTTCTCCGGAAGAGGCATGCAAAGCAGGCAAGTCAGAATAGGGAAATCCGCGGGGGATTTAAATATCCCCCTCGGGATTTAAATAAACATGGCCACCGCTTTTTTCCCGGCTTAGGGAAAAGCCGGAAAACTTTATTCCGGAGGATCACGCCAGTCTAGACGCTTTTTTTCCGGCTTTTCCCCAAGCCGGAAAAAAAGCGGCGGCCATGTTTATTTAAATCCCCCGCTGATTTCCCTATTCTGACTTGCCTGCTTTGCATGCCTCTTCCGGAGAAGGGGCCAGTCTAGACGTAGCCGCTGGGAAAAAGCTGAGCAGGATGCAGCCCATAGCTGCCTTTGATTGGGCAAAGCACAGGGACCACAATTGACAGGAAAGCCTATGAAGCTAAGCAAGAAAGCCATCATATTGCTATGCAACTAAAGACATTATAATAAAAGAAAGCCCAATGAGATTTGTGTATGTGACTTTGGGTTTATTTTATCATGATAGGATTACATTTGTGTATCTGCACAAGGCATCTGCTATTTGCGCATGTCCCAATGCTTACCCTAAGCAGGAAGTTTAATCTGGATAAGGCCTCTAGAAATATATCAGCTCCTTTGTTTGAATATTCATATCTCCCAGCAATGAAGAAAAACAAGGTCCTTGCAAGGTTGAAGTCAAGATGGCTGAAACAAAGCAAACACACAGAGAATAGTTCAATATGTGATCAAACAAACAGAGAGCAATTCTCTAATCAGTAAAGGTCACTGACATACAGCTGCTGCCTTACTGATGGATGATCATAAAAAATTAAGGGTTACCTGGAATACTCCATGTTAAAGTGACCATTGAGCTCTGTAATATGCCCTTCTCCTGCCTGATCCCACAAGGTGCCAAGCAAAGGCAGGAATAAAATCTAGGCTTCATATTGTAGCTCTCAGTCAGCCACTTGAATCAATAGGCAACACGTCACTTCTGACAATACAGTATTCTTTACAGCCTGCCTGGGCTAAGTCCAGCTGTTAAAAGGTCCATACAACCTGATGTTAAGTTTGAAAAGTAAAAGCATACCCGTAGAAATGGCCTCGGATGAACTCTTGGATCCTAGCCTTGTACATGGCATGCAAATTCTGAAACTCATGCATTGCTGAAAATTTCTTAATGTTCAAGCCATTTGGAGTAATGACATCTGGAAAAAGCAAAGGAAAAGGCAGACACACACAACTTCAGGATTTGGGAAATCTTTAAGGAAAGAACCAAAATACCGTTAGTTGTCAATATGCAAAGATGCACTTCGTCTGATTGCTCATGCTGGAGGAAATGGTATTTCTCTAGCTCTACAGCTTTTCTGCAGTTCATTTGTTCATGTCAATAAAAAGCAGCAGAAGACTATGGACCACATTCTAGTGTTAGTTGCAGTGGTGTAATTCCAGCATAACTCCAAAATGTTCTTTAGAGTTACTCCAGAATTGCACCTGGGTAACCAGATACCTTTTGTCCGTGCCACCCTACTCTCTGTAGCATCAAAGTTGCTTGGAACCCTTTTCCCCCCTGCAGAACTGTAACTCAACATGTGGATTTGATGCTGGAATATCAGTGTTGCAAGTGGGGAGCACCAGGTGGTAGCCTGCCCAGCTAGCGCTGTTGCTAAATGCTACAATTTGTATGTTACATCCCCTTCTCCCCACCATTTGTCTGGGTTTGCCTCGATCGACAGCTCTTCACACTACAAAGACTTCATTTTACTAGATGTTTGGACATTGCATGTAGCACAACAGGCCCCCATCCCAATAAGGGGTCTCTAGGCACTACTGAAATTCATAGAACTGAACAAATATTTTTTTAAAAGGCACTGCTCTTCACAATATTTGACATTTCTTCTGAAAAAAGAAACAATACTAGTTTGCACTTCTGTAGCCCTCCTCAAAAAGTCTTCCAAATGGATTGTGAGCATGCATGGTTCATTCTAGTCACCGCTGGAATACAATCTCCACTGTGGAAGAAACCTGCTTGCTTTAATGAGAACAGGATTCAGCCCTCAGAGGACAGATAGAAGTTTTGAACAGGAAGCGAAGAGAACAAGGAGCCAGTCAGGGGTGCAAGGTTTATCCCAGCCATATGAAAAGGGAAAGTTTGCAAGCTAGACTCTCTAAATCTGTATTTATTTAGGCCATATATAAGCAATTTTAAAAAAAAAATCTGCTGAGCTTATAGAATCTTAAATTTTAATAACTGAAAAGCACTAATATCAAGAAATTGAACCTGTGCACCAACATTGGGTGGACAAGTATTAAATAGTTTTACAACAGGTACCGCAGCTTTAGCAAATAAACCCTAGTCCTTTAGTTCAAAAGGTCAGTTTTCTTGCCTTTGCCCTCATGAATTGAAGCACAGCATCAGAGAGATCCAAAGACTGGCCAGTGGCATTTTCTGTGATAAAATAACGAGCAATGTTAGTCTCTCAACTATTGTTGACCAAAAGTATATTTTAATGAACCTGAGCTGCACTGCTGTGACTGGCTGCATTAAAGAATCCTCAAAGCTATTCACATATTAGGAAAAGTGTTCTTCCACTCTTCAGTGTGAATTAATTGTGGAACTCGGAATGGAGAGTGCTTCCCATGTGTCCAAATGTGATGGATGTTAAGTTTGATAGAGGTCTTTATCTTTGACGTCCAAACTTTCCTCATGCGTCAGCATTTGGGGAACGTCTATACAGTTATTCAAGAGAGTATTTTCCTGTCCACTGGCCGCTTACTAAGGTAATAAAAAAAGGTTTTTTTGGTTCTTCATTTATCCAATCCTTTTTTCACTAGACAGTTCAGCAGTGCCAACAAGCAATCAAAAAGACTCCCTCTTGAATTTGTTTTCATAGCTTTCTGTCACCTTAACACTGCCCTCATAACCAAACTGGCTATTCTGACTACGAGCTTCATAGAAAAAAGGATCTTCTACCTGATGGCTGATGCCACAAATAGGGTATACATTCTTTGTAGTACTTCAAAGAAAGTTACTGAATCTAACGATGATGTTGCATTGGACACAACCAAGTTGTGGGAATGATACCACAATGCACAGAGAAAGTTCTCTGATCCAGTGCAAGGATGCTTGTTTGGACAACACTGTTTCTTCCCTTCATGCTTGTAACATTGTCCTGGCCTTGGCCACAGCAGTCCTAAAGCTTTTTTTTATTATTATTCAAAGCGTTCATAATATAATTCTATTGGCCCTTCCAGTACTGTAGAGTCATCCACAGACCGGAAACAAATAAGGCGATCCTTGACTTGTATGCAGTCATCTTTTTTTTGTCAACAAGACTTACTATAAATGACATCCATTATTAACGAAGTCCATTATTACAGCATAGTACTTTGCTTTGCTGAGACAACTCTGTGTGTTAACCTTCCTTGCCAGAAGGTCAATCAATTTGTTTTGAATTATTTTGCTACAGTAATGGGCCACAGCTCCTTTACAAAATTACTTGACGTAAGTGCTCATGCATGACATTGTCATATTTCCCAAGGAACCCTACCAAATTGAGGAAATTACTATACTGTTCAGTGGACAATTTACCTGATGATCCCCCAGAAAGCCAATTATATTTTGCAAGGAAGAGTAATTGAGATCAGACTCTTGAGTGTATTCTTCCAGTGCTAGACTGCCACATTAATAATGCAATTGTTTTGTACCTCTATGCATTTATTCCCAGCATCAACCTGGACTTAACCTCCATCCATTTGGATTAGGTGACTTTTCACGTTACGGCAGAGCATCAGGTAGATGATGTCAGTAAATGAATTCAGAAACCACAACATTTGCAACAAAACCAAATATGTTGTCAGTTGATTTTCAATAACCTATCCAATGCCAGTTGTTTTTCACCACTCTCAAGCATTCTTTGACAGCATGACTTCAAAAAATTTTGCTTCTGCTCATTTACTGAAAATATTGTATTCTCCATTTTGCCCAGCCCATTCAAAATCGTATGATCAATAGAGGAAGAGTTTCATATCACCAGCAGTAAAGCAGGATCTGCTGTATTGAATTTATGGCAAGCAATTTTCCCACTGCTCTTTCTGCTATCACATGAGGCTGAGTCTTCTTTATCATTTCTCTTTTTCCCCTTCATTACTTTTCCTATTGCTATTGCCAAAGCCTGGTCTATGTTGCTCTGTTTCAGATACCTTTCCCATTAAATTTGCTCCTTACTGCAAACTATACTTCAGTTCAACATTTTACTTCCTATGCTGAGCTTCTGAAATTTTCTCAGTGGGGGTTAATGAAATATTTTATTTTCTATACAGGGGGAAACCAGATACTATTAGAAAGAGCAAAATTCTATGTTCCACAGTCTTAGAAAAATACATCAATTATTCTGCGTTAATCATGGCAAATAAAGTAACAATATTTATTTTATATTATTGTGTAGATAAGAGTTTGAAGGAGGAAGGCTCCATGAGCTGTTACAAAGGTCGAGAACATTCTAGGAAGTCAGTGAAATTGAATCCACATACAGAATACCTGAAACGTATGACTTAAAATATTTTATTTTTCCTTTTGGTTGCCATCAAGAAAAATAGCACCCCGATCCTGATCCGCTCTTTTCCCCCCACAAATCTGGCATCCCAGGTGATTGCCTGGGTCACCTAGCCCTAAAATTGGTCCTGAAGTCAGTATCTTCGATAAAGTCAATAACACTACACTGAATGGTGCTAATAGAACTATGCAAATTTACACTAGCTGAGTATTTGACCGATCATGTCTAAATACTGTACAGAGAATCTGTAGCTATGTAAGTGGTAATTGCCAGGTTCAAGTTTCTGGAAAATCTGGTTTATTGGATTTAGAGCACTCAAAAGTAAAACATTAGTATCTTTGGGTGGAACCCGCATAATACAAGCAGGCATTGTGTAAACACCTGAGCTTCATATACACTGCAGGATTTTTGAGCAAAAACCCACAAAGCATCCATACCTCAAGCATGCTTTTGCACAAGTAAATCAACAGTAAAACAGCAGAAGAGGGCTTTTTGTGGTATAGGTAAACCTCCTTCTACGAGGCATTACTCCTTTTTGTGCTACAGCTGTTGTGCAAAAAGGCATGTGTGGAAACTCCATAGGGGTTTCTTGCACAAATATAGCCTATCTGAAAAAGCACAAGTGCTCTGATGGCCAATGCAGTGTGGATGCTCTCTTGAGCAAAAGCGCATCGCAAAAGCGATGTGCACTGAGGTATCGACATGCCTTTGTGCAAGAACTCATCTGTAAAAAACTTCTTGCACAAAAACCCTGCGATATAGATGTAGCCCTACAGAGGGCAGTCAATGCCCCTCAATCTAGCAATCTCCACCTCCTATTCTAGGCCACTCTTGATGCTAGTGCCAACATTTCACATACATTCACCTCTTATCTACTGAGCCTCGTAAGTCACTTTCCATCTCCCACTCTCCTCCCCAAAAGAGAAGTAATGAAAATTATGACCGTGATGGAATTTTAATGTTACTAGTAAATATTGCCATGGTTACCACTTCTACCTAGCAAAAGACATAAAAGGCACTAAGCAGTGATTATTTAAATACATTAAAAAGCAAAAGAAAAGTGAAGGAAAACAATTCTTCTAGTTAGTAAAGAAGGAGAGCTAATAACTAATTACATCAAGCAGGCTGAGGTGTGTAATGTCTATTTTGCTTCAGTCTTCACTAAAAATGTTAATGGTGACCAGATATGTAACACAATATTAAAAATGAGGGGGAAGGAACAGGTTAAAGAATATTTAGATAAGTTAGATGCATTCACATTGGTGGAACCTGCTGAAATTCACACTAGGGTATGTCAGTAACTAGCTGAAGTAATCTTGGATTTGCTAGCAATTATTTTTGAAAACTCAGAGCACGAGTGAGTTCCCAAAGGTTTGGAGAAAAGCACATGTAGTATCACTAAAAAAGGGACACAAAATGGACGTGGGCAATTATAGACCAATTATTCCAGCTTCAAAACTTCCTGGAAAGATATGGGAACAAATTATTAAACAATCGGTGTGTAAGCACCTGTGGAAGCCTCAGGGTTATAAGGACTGGCCAGCATGTTCTATTAGCAACTTAATTTCCTTCTGCTGAAAGGGCTACTGGTCTAGTGGAGTGGTGAGAAGCAATAGATGTGATATATCCTGATTTCAGTAACGTTTTTGACACAGTCATGCCATTATTAGAAGTAAACTAAAGAAATGCAGACTAGATTAAATTCCCATAAAGGGAGTCCACCTCTGGTTGAAAAAAAAAAAAATGTTATTAAATTGTTCACCATCAAACTGAGAAGATGCATCTACAGAGGTTACAAAAGGGGTCGGCTACTATTCAATATTTTCATTGAGGCTTTGGAAAATGGAATGGAGGGTATGCTTATAAAATTAGCAGATGAAACCAAGATGGGAGGGATCGCAAGCATGTTGGTAAACTAATTAGGACCACACACACACTTTTAAGCCTTTTTTAACCCTTTTTGCTCAGTTCAGCTGCTGCCGCTGTTACCTTGTGACTCATTTTTTGCCAAAGCTCACTCACTAGGCTCTTGCCATTTTGATGCTGGACTATCAGGAGTGCCGGACTATTGGATGCCGGACTATTGGAGTTTTACTGTACACAATTACAAAATGCACTACAACTGGCTAGGTGTAATATTACTGAACAGAATCACAAACTGCATGTGAGTTAATGTGATGCCCTGGCTAATACTGTTCTGGGGCATATTAACAATATTGTTATGTGTAAAATATGGGAGGTAGTTGTCCCACTGTACTTGGCACTGGTGAGGCCTCAGCTGGGGTTGTGTACACAATTGTGGGCACATAATTTAAGAAAAAGGTGGGTACGTTGGAGAGAATCCAGAAGAGCAACAAAAATGATGTTAAGAAAATCTGACCTGAAGACAGGTTAAAATAACTAGGCATGTTTAGTCTGGAGAAAAGATGATTGAGGCACAACCTGTTAACAATATGAAAAATATGTTAAGGGAAGTTTTAAAAAGAATGGTGATCAATTGTTCAACATGTCCACTGAGAACAAAATAAGTAGTAATGGGCTTAATCTACTGCAAGTGAAATTTAGGTTAGATATTAGGAAAAAAAAGTTTAAGAGTAGTTAAGCTCTGGAACAGATGTCTAAGAGAAGTTGTGGAATCCCAGTCACTGGTGGTATTTAAGAATAGGTTGAACAAACATCTGTCAGGTATGGTCTAGCTTTCCTTGGTCCAGAGTCAGGGCAGGGGGCTGGACTTGACTTCCCATGGTCCCTTCCAGTCCAGCATTTCTAGGATTCCATAACTGCTTATAGTTAAACAGTTCGTATGGTGTTGTATTCCTGAAAAACTCAGCAGCAACACATTACTATATTCTCTTGTGGCTTAGTCTGTGGATGCCAATTATTCTGGTTTTTTAATTTGATTTTCAGGAGTGGCTAAAAAAGCTGACTCGCTTCACAGAGTATTTTAGCAATAATGTCCCTGGGAAAGTTTCAAGCTTAATGATCTACTGAAGGATTATTGACTTTTTGGGCAGCCATTGTCCATGAGGATTTCACAACTTTAAATTGATCATAAGCCAGCAGTTTGAGACATTAATGATAGGCTGAAAGACATTCAAATGTGCTTATGTCGTAGGATTCAGAGTCTACTAAAGCACATTTCACATCAACTCACATTTATAGCAGTACCTGTAGTCATTTATAATTAAAGGCCTCTGTTAGCCTTTAGTTACAAACCTTTTGGTACAAGCCTGGTTACAAATACTTATCTAATTTCATTTCAGCATGGAACTTGACAAATTTCAACAGACTTTAAAAAAACCCAACAACAAAAACATGTCTCCCGCAGAAGAAACCAAATCAAAGTTTCAGGAATAAAAGAAAGTCTCACATCAGCAAGGCCACTGTGCATGGAATTTTCCCTGGATAAAATGCAAACTCTTTTTGCTGTGTTTGCAGGCTCTAACCATTAAAGTGCACTAGGTTTTTTGAGCTCCTATAATACAAAAAGCGTAGGCCTGGATGAGGGGTGGGCAATAATTTTTTGAAGTAGCTGCTGGCAGAAATGTTTGAAGTGGCCCCAAGCTGCACTGGAAGGGGTGGGGCCAACATACGTCCGGGTTCTCCACCTCCAGACAATGATTGGTCTGGGGGTGAGGGAGTGCCTTCCCCCCCCCCCATGTTCCGCCTAGTTGCCCATGCCCCTGGAGTGGGAGGAGACTTCCCACACTTTCCTGCACCTAGGCCAAATAGGGCCCGGAGGTGGGGAAGCATGTGAAGCCTCCTCTGCTCTGCCCCCACCCTGTGAGCAGCGTGCAGCACTTCAAAGTGCCACGTGCTCCTGGCAGGACGGGAGGTGGCTTCGCATGCTCCCCAGGCCCTAATTGGCCTGGGGGCAGGGGAGCAGCAAGGCCTTTGCAGGCTGGATCCAGCCCGTAGAGGGCCTTTTGCCCACCCCTGGCCTGGATTTTCAAGAGCAACCATTGGTTTTGCACGCTTCATTTTTTGGGTGTTCAAAAGGAGACATCTTAAAGGAATCGGAATTTCACAGAGCAGGTGCTCTGCTTCTTTTGGAAACTAGGCTCCTTTAGGTGTTTACCCATTCACATAATCTGTACAGGTTAGGGTAGAGGCATTAGGGCGGAATAGTAATCACAGTGCCACTTCCTGATCCATACCTATTTTATGGCCTGACAAGATTTCAATTTATGGGGCTGTCAATCCAAAACTTTCCATGAGCATTCATTCAAAATAAAATTGTACAAAGTAAACAGAGTGATTTTTTTGAGATCGCTATTTTGTAATGTAGTTCAAGACAATTTTAGTAAAGTTATGTTTGAAATGGCCAAGCAATCAATATTGGAAAATCACTTGCTACATAGGCTCCAAAACATTTTTCAGGGTTTTTCTAAACATCAGTGCCCATATTTGGAGCAGCATAGCTTTGTCCTCACAAAGTATTTGGTCAGTACTTTCAGGACACATCTGGATAGAAGTATCAGCTTGCCTATCCTCTACATACCAGGCCATGCAATGAAATGAACTACCTAGCGTCACACTTTGGTTTTGTCTATTCACTCCTTCCTTGTTTTAATAAACACAGTATTACCATAGAAAAGAAAATTAAATTTAACCCGGTCTTCTTATAATCAAAGTATCTGTTCATCTATAACACTAACGGTCTACCACTAGTATCTAAGTGGTGTTGTAACATGTGGTGGAGCTTCAACCTATCTAAGCAAAGCAGCTCAGAGACTGTGTGTGTTGACAGTCAGTAAATGCAGTTACAAAATTCCCCACTGATGCTTTCATCAGCTCAGCTGAACATGCGTGAGAGTTCTAATACATACAAAAGCTCCTGAGGCTTAGATAAACCTGTTGAAATAAAATCTAACAGGTCTGGTGGGAAACTAGAATGCCAACAAACGCTAACCACAGTTATTCAAATGGTGCTCAAATTAATAGGTCTTCGGTTCCAGCTGCAGTTAAAATTTGTTCAGCACCAGTTCAGCTGACATCCAATGTTAGCTCTGGCTGTTTTCTTAACACACAAGAGGAGGGGAGTCTGCCTCATCTTATCATGGACAGTTTAATCAGTCAGAAGTTAGTATAGAAAGGCATGTTCAAGTCTTACCAGCTTTTCTCTTAAGCATGTGCTCTGCTTCTATGGCTGTTATCTGAGAAACCGTGGTGAAAACATGAGCACAATGTACAGATGCTCGTTCCATACAGTACCGGTGGTAAATCTGTCTGTCTCCTGCTTCTCTGTCTATATCAAACTGTTGAACAACAAAAACAAAAAACACTCTTATGATATGCTACTTCAAACAATTTACCACACAGTAGATGAAAAAGTAAAATTCTTGGTCTCAAAGAACAAAAGAAGAAAATCCTGAAACTGACATTTTCTAGTACTTTAAAAATTCTGTCACATCAATTTCACAAATATCATTTACTGCCACCTGAAAGGTATATTCTTTTCTTTCCATTCCAAATCTGGTGACTTGCTACAGAATCCCAAATCAAAATCCCAGAAGCAAACACCCCAAGTGCTGGAATATTTCCAATTCAGATTCAAACTTGTAGCTGACTCTAGTTTTATAAAAGACTTAACTAAAACTTCAGGTCTAAACATCCCATAATTGGGGGAAGTACACAGGTACTGAAGGTAGGGATTTAAAAAGGGTTAAGTGGTTACCTGGTAAGTGATTAACTGGTGGGCACAGCCCAGCCTGACTGGAGCAACTTGCAGGGCAGCAAGCCTGGCCAGGCTGGAGTGACCTACCACCCGGGGATGCCCGTTAAACGTAACTTTTAACTGGTTAACTTTTTAAATGGGACTTTACATCCCTAATTGAAGGGTGTGCTCTGTTTAGAGGAGATAGGAACAAAGCTCCAGGTGGTGGTAGTAGCATAATACAGCAACAAAACAGGAAACTATAAATCAATAGGAAGTGATAGTATGGATTAAACAGAACCAGTTGGGATTTGGGAAAGGACTATGAAAGAGCTTCTGTTGGCATAGGGTTAGGGCTCTGCTGTGGACCCCCAGGTCTGACTCAGGTATGAACAGTGATTTCTTTAAAATTAATAGAAATGAATGCTTTTGGGGATGGGTGTCTCATAAGGGAAAACTAACTTCCCAGATATATATTGGAAAAAGAAATGCTATAAATAGTGTTAAGGCCCATTTATTCTTAGCTGTGATAGACAACAGTTTTCTTCATCAAATCATCACTGAACTGGCAAGAAGTGATGCAATTGTAGACTTGGTTTTAGAAAGGAGTGAGGCTATCATAGAAGAGCAGACTAAGAAATAACCATGGATTGAGTCATCAAGAGTGGAGTCAGTTTCAATTAAATGGAAGAACAATCAAAACTAGGTAATCAAATATGGTTTTTAAAATTTCAAAGGGCAAGGAAATTAAGGGAATTGGTTATAGAAATCAGCCTGACTGAAGAGCTCAAGGATTTAAAAGTAGGGGAGACTTGGAATTTCTTCAAAGTCAACTATGCAAAAATTATCTGAAATTTGCATACCAAGAAAAGGGAAAAACCTTGGAGGGAAAGGCTCCAGGTCTAGCTGGATGAATATCCACCTCAGAAACATTAGGAGTAAGCAGAGAGCCAATACAGAATGAAAAAGGGGTTGATCAGCAAAGCAAGGAAGTGTCAGTGTTACTAGAAGTCCAGATGAATTAGATCTTGCCAAGAAATTAAAATACACTTTTTTTAAAAAGATTACATAATTAAAAAAGAATAAAGGATGAGCAGCAGGTTTGGCCATCAGGAAATGTATATGGGAAGGAGATCACAGAAAATCTAGGTATGCCCCCAAAGCCAAATGAATACTTTGCTTCCATTTTCAATCATGGTGATAATATGGAACATGGGCATGAAGGCTGTATGGCTGATGGAAGCCAGTGCAATTTCTGTGGACAGCTTACAAGTCAGTCTGTTACATGGGACACTATCTAATAAACATACGTTATTTCTCTTGTCCCTAAAATTACCAGTGCAATTATAAGGGCTGCTGTGAAAATGAGAGGATAGAAGCAGGAGCCATTGGCTCAGTTAACAGTAGGATTTGCATTGGAGGAAAATCAGATCACTATAGAGCCAATGCTTAAGAGTTCAAACGGGCACCACTAATTTCCCACTACATTGTACAGATTTGGCTTTTGTAGTCTAAAAAAGCTTAGCTCTAATTAGGTGTCAATGATTATATGGTTTACAGTTAAAATACAATCCTATTAGTCTTACATTATCTTTCACTGCTGGGAATGCCAAGGTAACCTTCTCAAGGTTAATGGCAAAGACCATGTGTACACTGCTTTTACATGTATTTTATTAAATGATGAAGGCTGTTACAATGACATTAAGAATATCATTTATGCAGAATTCTCATGCTCCCATTGTTAGCATATTTCATCTTGTCTAACAAGACATCCAATGTGAATGGGGGATCAGACTAATCAAGGAGTTTGAAGGAGGAGAGGGAAGTGGGAGATAGGACTACGACAGGCTGAGATTAGAAAGGACAGAGCAAAAGGTTCTTGAAGTGGAATTCAAGATGTCTGAGTTTCAACATACCTCTGCTGTCAGCAAATATCTGTGAAACCTTTTATCAGGGTGTATGAACCATCCCCTGCTAGTGGCTGATCCACATAGAAGAGGACAACCTACTATTGCTATCTTCTATTCAGTTTGCTCAAGCAACAGAGATCTTTGTCATGGATCAACAAGTTTCAAGCTTTTAGATGACCTATGTAAGTGTCAACAATTTGATAGTAACTGAAGTCATATTTCCTAATTCATCCTAAGTCCCATTCCATTAATTTAACCATCAGCCAAATCTTCATCTTTCACAGTACCATAATATTTTTTGATTGTCAAAAAATTTCAGTCAACTATAGAGAGTCGATGAAAAGTCTCAAATATTTCTTCTAAAATGTTTTGGTTCCCTCCTACCACCAGAATTGAATAGCTACAAATATTTATTAAAAACTCCAAATTTGGGATATTTTGAACAGATCTAGTTAAAGACTTCTCACATCAATGACAAAGGAGCTCTAATATTCACATTCCATAAAATTAGGTGCTATTCTTGCTCACTTTCATTTCTTTATACAATGCTTCAATATTGGATTTCCCCTTTCTTGCTGCTATCAAATTCTTCAGCTTCTGGAAATGGGAAAGGTTTTTTTTCCCTGGATGCTCTTGCATGACTTCTAGACTAAGTTCTTGATGGAACATCACTATAGTTCTATTAATAGGAAGGAAACAGACTTCATCGTTCTTAATCACATTGTTCCTTCTCTTACAGGTCATCCTCTTTCTTTGATTCTTCCTGCTGCAGCTTCTGCTACTTACAGAGATGGTGGGTCCTGGCCTTTGACCTTACTTGCAAGGTGGAGAGGGAAATCTCATTGTCTGCCTCTTAGCAGGCTGAACTAATGACTTCAGAAAATAGTCTTAGATGAGTTGAAGGCCAGGCTGACTGGTACTTAAGTGATGAGACAACATAACAGGACAGAGAGAGCAAACTGAAGTGTCTACTGGGAAACTGTGGAATGTTTTTGTTCTTCTGCCAATATGAATATTAGCACAGGTGCAGTCCTGCCATCTACTATTTGAGGTAAGAGCTACATTGAGAGAAAAAGTTAGACCTAAGATTCCTTTAGGTTTGTCTTCATGTGATTTTTAAGGGTAAAATTTTACCTCTCCAATCCCCTCACTCTTAACTCTAATGTTCTGTTTCATTTATTAGTATTCACTTCATTCTGCACATGTTGAGATCCCATTGGTTTATTAATATTGAGCTCAAACAGAACATTTGAGTGAGAAAGGGCAAAAATTTTCCTCTCTAACACCCATTTCAATTTCAAAAGAAAATGAAGGAAGGGTTACAGAACACAATGTGAAAAAACACCCTGGGGCTCAGTTTCATACAATCCTGAACCAAATTTTGAACTTCTTCCCTCTACATGGAGTCCTGTGCTGGATTTCTAGTTTTATTCATGGCTGCATAATTTACAATAAAAAAAAAAAAAAGAGTCAGTAGTTTCTGCTGAGTTCCATTTGGAGTTTTCAGCTTTATCAGTACTCTTAGATCAGCATGAAGCTCAACAATGTTCAACACTGTCCCCTTTGAAGTCCAAAGCCTTCAACTTTCACATATCCTCAGTCATAGCAACAACAGTTTTAAAAAAAGAAAAACCTTGGGACATTAAATATGCTGTCAGATAAAAGCTGCAAGTAAACCTGGTTAGAAACGCCCCCCTCCCACACACACAGATTTTCCAACTCACAGAAAATTCCAATTTCAGACAAATATAGAATAATTAAGATTAAAAGTCAAACATTTTTACAAAACCAGTTCCCCCCACCCACAACTTTAAATTGGAAATATTGAAATGAAAAATTTACAACATTTTCAGTTAACCCAAATGTTTTATTTAACATCACTTCAAAAACTAAGCTTTGTGTTTCAAATTGCCATTTGCCTATAAAATGACATTAAAAAGCTATTTAAATTCAACATTTCCATTTGAAATGATATATTTTGGTATGAATCAACATTTTTGAAATGAAACATTTTCACTTGAATATAGATCTAGAAATAAATGTTCAGCTTTGAAATGCCACTTCAGAAAAGCTAAAATCTGTCAACACTGACATGTTTCCCAATGACAAATATTTGTCAGGAAGTTTTCAATCAATTCTAAATCACACCGGTCATCATTGATAAAGGGACTATATTTAAAAAAAGCCTTTTTGAGGTAAATTCATAAACTCATCTCCTCTCAGATTTTTTCCCCCCATTTCACTTGAACATACTTCTGTTTTTACTCCTACTTCATGGTTATTGAAAGTCCCAAACTCAAATGCTAGATACCTGAAATCTGGGGAAGTATTGTCATAATGTATAGGTTTAGATCAAGCCTTTGTCTCTGTAGTAGGTCAAACAAAAATCCCAATCCAAAACACTTCCAAACTACAGGGAAGTTTGGACCTAGATCCAAAAATCTAACTTTACAGCTGGACCCTGACTCTAAGAGCTGAGGCAAAACTCTGAATCCAGTTACTCTCACCAGACTTCTATTTTAGCAGCATCATTCTTTTTGCAATGACAGGGTTCATTCTGTGTGTGTCATGCATTGACTGTATAGAAGTGTAGCAAACAAGATCATACTTCCTAAATCATTTTGAATTCTTAGGGGAATTGTGGGCTCTGCAAAAGCATCATGCGCTCAGTAGAATGCCAAGTTGACAAATG